ACTAAATTTTAACACTTTTTTTTACGCAAATTGTGCACTTTAGACAAAATTTGGTATCATATTTGAAAACACTTTTTTGTAGTTATTACTAATTTATATGGTACATAAATATTTAGCTTCATTCTATTTTACTCTTATTCGTATTTCTTTTTACAGAAAAAAATTTCAGAGTTTCCAGGATCGGCGACTTCGTGTTAGCGAAGTAGATAAATCACAGCTAAAGAAAGCCAAGAAAGAGGGAGATCTACATGAGGTCATGTTGGACAGGAGGGAAAAAATGAAAGCTGACCGTTACTGCAAATAATCTTAGTAGACAAATCACTGCTAAAGAAAGCTAAGAAAAAGGAAGTCTACACAAGATCATGCTGGACAGGAAGGAAGAATTGAAACCTGAATGCTACTGCAAATAATCTGTAACAAGTGCGGAGTTTCCATTATCATCCAGGCTAAATTTTAATTATAACATCACTTTGATGCATTGAAAGTGGTATTTAGGTTTTTGATAGTTGCTATACATTTTGCATCTTTAAGTTTTATAACAACAAAAAAAAACATGAAGTTGAAGAGATTTCCTAGTCAAATGTTTGAACAGATTAGTAAGGAACTCTGCACCATTTCATGATAATTTTCTTTGACATGGTGTAGACCAATCGGCATCTGTATTTTATGTAAATATATCTATTAGTATTAAAATATATGTATGTTTTACTCGTGTGTGATGAGTTTTTACATGACCAGTTGGATTTTTTCAAGCATTGACTGACCAAAAAAAATGAAATCTGCAATGGTTGTGCTAGTCTTTGCGGTTTTCAGAAGTGAAGAAAATTAAAATGTAAAAGTCCTAGTTATTTATCACTCACATTTCAAATTCAAACTCATAAGTTTAAAACGAACACTTTTTTTTAAAGTCTTTTTCTTGAGAATTTTAATATCTTATAAATTTTCCTTATGGTGGTTTCTTATTACTTGAAAGGTATCTATATATATAATTCGCCAGCTAAACAAGGGCAAGAAGCAAGAAGACGACGACCCTGGCTATATATAGATACGCCAGAGCAAGCAAGACGCAGGCAAACCCTCCCCTCCCTTCCCCTGCCTGCCCATCGTTGGTCTCGAGACATGTGCACTGTGGTGGAGCTACCGCCCTTCCTCCTGCACCACCCTCGCTTGCCAGGCATGCGCACACCCCAGCAAGCTCGCGGCGTATGCTAAGCCGCGGTCGGCTATATTTATATTATTCATGGGGGAGAAAAAAAAGGGGGCCGGGGGCGTATAATAAAAAGGGGGGGGGGGGGAGGGGGAGGTTTGTAGCAAAATTGGCATTCTTAAATGTGCGTAACTTGAGTTCACGTTTTTGTCAAGTAACTTTAGTAGATGGGAAGTTCACGCATTGCTGTCGCCAATGTTTGGCTGGTTCTATCTAGTCAACTTATATTAGCTCAGTGTTTAATAATTTAACTGAAATATCACATTAAGAAATGGCGTCAGCAGGCCTTTGAGCTAATGCTCCTTATGCCCTCCCCAAAGCCACCCCCCAAAGCCCGGTATCGGACCCTGAAGCAGCACTTTGGATATGTCCCCTTGCCCATGACAGCCCCCACCAGTGATTATTTCAGAAATTTTCCGGGGGGGGGGACTTCAAATTTTTAAGGGGGGGGGGGGCAGATTTTGTAACTCTTTATTTCGGTTTATAGGTTGTTCTCGTTACATAACAAATATCTATTTTGGTTTAGTACTAATCAATGTTCTTTTCCATGAACTTCAATGAGTGCACCGGAGATATAGCTGAAAGAAACCCTGGCCCCCACCCGAGTCCGCTCGATCGGGTTCCGCTTGGGGCCGCCCCAACCCAAAGACACCCGGTCGGTGCAGATGATAGACTTTCTTACGAGTCGGGGATAGTAAAATTCACGTCCTAATATCTTCCCCCACCCATCTCGGGGAAGCCTCGAACGCCCTTTAAGAGGGTTCTCTACCGTTGGTTTCCACCACGCAACTAGTTTGCAAAGTAGCTGGAACGAAACGGTTGCCTAGGAGCAGCTTTCTCAGGGCTGCGTAGTTGGAATCATCGGCTAGAGGCTTTCACCTTCGCCTCCAGCCTCATATCCATTAACGGCAACTTGTAATCATGTAATACTTTAACTAAAAACTTCAATATATATATATATAGTATGCAACACTAAGATTATGATCTAACTTCATGTTATTAAAAAACACTGGATAATAGAGGACTAGACATTGAATAGAAACGCATTGCTAAAACTATAAGAGTATAAGCCAAATCATATTTACTCCACAATATAAGACGCAAAACAAAGTATTCAGTGATTCTCAACATGAGGGATGATAGATGTGAGTTTACTTGTAAATATCATGAGATTTAAAATCTGAATTGCCTACCTAAATTGAACATACATAAACTGACAGATTTTCTGCGGAGAACTGTATCAAAATGCTTACTACCCATTGTAATGATTTTTTAAAAATCAAGATGTAGACCAATTAGATTCTTGTTAGCAAAACTTTAAAGACAGGAGCTATAACTATAATTCTCTATGTTTAACACCTTTTAACCCAAAATGACGACTTATGTACCCACTAGATACCTCCGCTCATCCGGTAGTGGGAAACTCTTGAAACCACGTGTTCGCGTTGAGACTTACAGAAGGGGCACTTTCGCATTTGCTGGCCCAACAATTTGGAACACACTTCCTGTAGCTCTCAGAAGCAGCCAGACACTGGAGTCTTTAAAAACCGAATTAAAAACACATCTAATTCGCAGACACCTGCTGGGGTGATGTTATCTACCATCTTTTCCAGCTATTATCTCCTAGATGTGCGCAGTGAATACCCTGTACAGCATAGTTTCCACTAACTAATTGCTTCTTGCACACTGCAATTAGCAGGTTTTATTTATATTATTCTAAATGAGCATGAGCTTTCAAAATTTCATCCCATGGTGAGGAGTTCCCAGGCAATACAGTGACTCTATTTTTCTTATATTATATTAAAATTCCTTGTTCAACAATCTAAGTAGTGAAATATTCATGAAAGTTCTGTGATAAGTATCACAACGCTTAAAAATTTGTAAGTTCAAAATAATTTGTTTTTAAAGTTTATAGTTGTACTACATGGCTAAGGGGCCTTTGCTTTAAAAAAGTTTTTAATATGTGTGTGTCTCTGTTGGTTTCAATGATGAGTTTGATTAATATTATACTGTATCAACCACATGATGTTCCCTTGGGTTATCCAGTGGCTAGGATAGATGAGATATGCTGTTGGGAACCAGCTTATAATCCTAAAAGAATAATCCCAGGCCTTGGGGATTTCGTCCTGCGAAGTCTTCACCATCGTCACATTGTGACGGACGGATGCCAGCAAAAAAATAAAATAATAATAATATATTTAATAATATATTTAATTTAGGCCTAAAAATCAAAATAATTATTTTCCTTTTCAAATTTTTTTTAAAAAGTTAATCTGGTTTCATCCGTCAAGGATGTCCGCTTTAATTTGTAGGTGTGCATTTGAGAATAGAGACCAGTATTTTCTTGTGCAGTCGATGCAAGGGAAATGTGACATCTTTTATAAGATAAGATAAGATTCTTTTATTGATCCAAATAAATGGAAATGTTTTTTGATTGCATTATACATTTTCAGCTAAAAAATAAAACAATTTGAACACAAGACATTTATAATAAATTATTTCAAACAGCCATTCAGTGAGTTCTCTTAGCAAAATCGGGGACTTATTAGATCTCATTCAGATGTGTGACTTCAGAGGAAGCATGCCGGTAAATTCGTACAGATTGGGGAACAAAAGAATTTTTAATCTGTCAGTCCTCACCCTGATGGAAAGAATTCGTCCCGAACGGCCCGGTCCTAAGTATCTGTGATGAAGAGGGTGGGATGTATCATCCAAAATGTGTTTAGTTTTGCAAAAACATCTTTGTTCAAATAGTTCTTCAAGTAAAGGATGTTTAGTTTGTGTTATGTTCCTAGCTTTCTTGATTAGTCGGTTTATGCAGTGTTTAATATCAGACATTGAATTGTCCTGCAGCAGCTTTTCTGTTGGCTAGTTATTGCATGCAGCTTTTGTCTACCAGGAGCATCAAGAGGCTCAGTCCTTTGCCAATTGTTCTGACATTTCTGCAGAAAGCTTTCAATGAATCCTTCAGGCTGTCTTTGAAGTCTTTCTTCTGATCGCCAGCATACTGTTTCCCATGCTCAGGCACGCCACAAAATATTCTTTTGTGCAACCAGGGGCCTGGCATTCTCATATGTTCCACGTTGGGACAGCATAAAAATTTTATAGATGCCATTGATGTTGCAGATTTGTCTGAGGCTTTTGGGGTGGAAGTGGTTCAGATTTCTATCATGGTGTTGATAGACTCCACATTTCGATGTAGTCGCATAGGGAGCATAGCCGCCTTCTAGACTTTTATTTTAGGTAGGGCCCATCTCCTGTTCAATACAAGGGAGTAGAAAATGTGCCCTATAGGTACATTGATCCAACCTTCCCTATCCAGCCTACAGCAGCTGGAGGGAACCCAGTATCAGCTGTCACAATTTAAAAAAACATATTACTTGAGTTGCTTAATATTGAATGAGGGATAATGTTCATTATTTCTTCTTTGTTTTTTCAACTCCCAGTGAAGGATGGGCAATTAACAATTTCTTTACAAACCTTCCGATCTCTAAATCCTAGCTATTCTCTATAGACTATTTTTACCCGGGTACCAGAAGTGAAAGGTTGGGATTAAAAAAACTATTTTAATATATTAAATATATTAATATTAAATAATATTCTTGTGACTCTTTTAAATTTAAATATTCCCTTTCCTACATAAAACTAATTAAACAGTCACGTTGATGGTCAGTAATTATTTATACTTCGTTTCAAGGTGGTCAGTAATGTTGCAGGCGTTAAATAGCTTTGCCCAAAACGACAACAAGTGATGATACTAATACTATGTTTACGAATTACTTGAGCTTAATGAAAAAAAGCAACTTTGAAATTTGTTGAAGAAAAAAAAAAACAGGGACTAATCATTTGGTATGTTAAAGCACTTTTAAACAAATTTGAAACTGAATGCTTAAATCATATCAAGGTAAGAATAGGCCTAACACGTTCGTTATAATTGATTGAATTTGAACATGCAAGAAAACTTCGACAGACAGTTGAACTCAGTTGAGACAGTGACAGTGAAGTTTGAAGTCACAATAAATTCAATAAATATAATTATAATGATATTCATTGTGTAGATAATAATTATTATAGACAATTATAGAGTGTAGACTAAAAAAAATATAGATCTAGTCTGCCATTAGTATTACTATTACTATTCGTATTAGCCTTTGTGTTTATTAAATTAAATTACTAATATTTCAAAATATTTGTGTATCATTATTTAACTGAAAAAATGAATGTAAATGTGTTATATTTCTCAGGTTGACCTATAACTTATTTATAGATTATAGATAGTAAAAGCCAGTAGAGGGTCCCAATAATAAGAATAAGAATAAGAAATGAACAGAAAAAGAGGAAGAAAGAGTAATGTTACAACAGAGTTAACTCAACCAAGCCCAGGCCCAAGGTAGGGTATATAATATAATATTTACATTTAAATTATATTTTCTGCACTACCAATTTTATGGATTATTGACAACACCACCTCTCTCCAAAAAAAGGAAAAACCCTATACTATTTTAATTTTAGTTATTTAGTTAAAAAGTGGAAAAAAAACACTGGCTAAAATGCAGTTGACAGCAGAGCTGGTGATGTCTTCCAAGGTGTATAGGTCACGGAGATTTCCCAGGTCAACTACTTGATATATAAGTCACGGAGGTTTCCCAGGTCAACTACGGGCAACTAGTTCTGTTTTTCAAAATTTAGCTCTATTTTTTTTATTTCATATTTTTTTTCCTCATTTTATAATTTTTGTTTTGAAAGAGTGGGTTCTCTGGGTCTCCCCTCTCCAGAGATTATGTTGAAATGTTTTGTAAAATTGCGACATTATAGAAATGAATAGCATACAGTACTTCATTTTGAATCAATTAAAAAATAGCACTTTTAACCATGCACACATTTTTTTTTCCCGGTGTTTTACTTGGGGTATCAATAGGGATGAGTTTCTGTTTTTATTTCTTTTGAGCCTTGTAAGTTGACTTTCAATACAAATTGAAGAGAAAATTCCATTTTAATTTATTTAATTTTAACTGTTTGGATCGTCAGATTATGTTTTTGATGTGAATAATGCTCAGTGAAGAAAGGGAAAGTTATCATTCTCATCGTTCAGGTCCAATCGTTGGTCCAGTCACCTTAAGTCAAGCTGTGGGATTCCTCAAAGTGACGTCATTGCGCTAAGGGTGAGACAGCTCTTAGCGAAACCCATGCCTTTAACAGCACATTTACCCAAACATTTTGTGTAAAATTGGGAGAAATATCTACAGAGAAATCCTGACCTTTATATTTTATCTGGACAACTATCTCTCAGACAGATAACATTCCTTCACTATCAGTTTTCCTAATCCAAAAGAGCAGTTTATGAATGTTTTACTATTTGTTTATATTATCAGGAAAGTGTAGAAGTACATTAAAACTAAAAGCTTTGAATCAGGAAAAAAAAGGCTTTTAAAAAACATGAGATACAGTAGTGTTCTCAACAGGAATAACTTTTTATAAATGGCAATAGCAATCACAGTAGCAGGGTAAAAAAAAAAAGTTTGAGTAATATCTTTTATTTATTCATAACATTATAAAATTTGGTACATCCTTCAAACGGTTTATCTCATTTTATACCCTTTTTTTTTGCAATGAGATAGAGCTGCATTTCAGTTCCATTGGTCAACTAATTATGGGAATATGATAGCTTCTTGTATATTGGAGAAAGGAACAACAAGGCTCCTTGAAAACTTAATAGATAAAATTGTCAGCAGAGCCAAGGCAATTGACCATATTTCAACTCTTATGTACAAAGGGAAGTTGGTTAAAATTATCTTCAAGGAAACCGTAAACAAGTCAAGTTAAACAAAAGCTTTTATAAATTTAATATTTCCTCATCATACTTAGGGATATCATGTGGCAGATATTGGCTATTTATAGGGGACAGTTCACAAAAGTACATTTAACTGAAGACATACCAATGTATTTAAATCAAAACATCTTGCAAAATACAAAGAGAACTTGTATTGTCAATTTGTACCTTAAGAATATCTGTACTAAAGGGCATTGTGCATTTACAGTGGAAACTCCATTCTGCTTCAAATTACATATTAGTTTGCATAATTCCAAATTCTAAATGAAATAGCCTCTCATTGTTTGTTTCTTCAATGCCCGCAAAAATATTTTTGAAATATGCATTAAAGTTTTAATAATGATTCTGATATAACATCCCCTTAATACATGGACAAATTTCTTCATCCGATTTATTAAAAGATAAAAACAAAGCTTCACTGAACTTCATTAGAATTATAAATTAAATATGGTGTTCTTTGTTTTTTATCTTTACCATACTACATATTTTTTTTAATAAATCTACAGAATGCCACAGTTAAATGGGCAAGAATGTTTTTTCACTGAGGCAACCTTCAGGCGTGTCATGGGACCAGAGCTTTCATTTGAGCAAAAAATTTTGTCACAGATCAGACGCATTGCAGAAGAGAAAGCAAAAAAACAAAAGGGTAAAAAGAAGCCTATAGATTTGGACAAACCAAATGAGCTTGATACAGAACAAGATGCACCTATCCAAAGAGAAAAAACTTTGCACTCTAGGGACAGAACCTTGCAAGCAAGGGACTCAACTTTTGACCTACTTCCTGACCAGTGCTTAGAACTATCGATGTGCACCCGGCTCGATGAAAAAAAGGCTTCCAGAAGAGAGCCAGACACTAATAAAATAACATCAAAAGCTGACCGGTCAGACTGTTTCAAAAGTAATGAGTCAGGCTGTGACGATTTAAAAAGCATGGTAGTCATTGATGTTGCTGCCCCTAGTGAGAACGTCGTGCAAGCTTGCACAAAATCTATCGCAATAGTCCCAGGACTTGCAGAAGCAGCAGATGCCAAAATACTTGATCACAGCAATGACCTAGATCTCGTTCAGCAATCATCGACACCAGTTTTAATTGAGCTGAATACCAAAATGAGTCTGAATCCTGGAAGTGATTTAATTTTGCCTTCTCAAAACATTGATTTTACACCCAATACTAAAACATCTCCTGCTCCTGAAGAGAAAATTCGGTCTGAGGGCAGTCATTTGAATAAAGAAGAAGTACTGTGTCTTGTTATGCCATCCCTTTCTGATGAGGACGATGAGTTAGAGGTGGACACAGTCTTTAAAGCCAATCCAGTTCTTTCAGTTTCCATTCCTATTTCTTGTAGCACTGAAAGTTCACTTGGCTGTGTTAAGACATACGCGATGAACTCTGGAGTGGCGCTCTCATATAAAGAAAACACTGAAGTGTGGCTCTCATCTAAAGAAAACACTGAAGTGAGGCTCTCATCTAAAGAAAATACTGAAACAACAGTACTCTTAAGGGAAACCAATGTGGGCTTTGCCCTAACAGAAAACACTATAAAAAATAATCAAAAAATCCCACAAAAATGTCAAGACTCTCAGGGTAACCAGTACACACCATGGGACAGTGGTCAGTGCATGGAGGGCAGTGTCATCCAGCAGTCAGCAATGCAGCTTCCTCATGTCAGCTCTAACCAGGTCGTAGAGACTCCAAAATGGTCTGAAGAGGACATTCCCATCTTCTCTGTTAAAGCTGATGAGCAGAATGCCCCAGCAACTGGTATCAGCAACTCTGGGAAGATTAATGTTGCTCTGTCTGATGCTAAGATGGCAAAAACAGATAAAGCAACCCAGGAACATGTTGGAAAGTAAGTTTTTTTAAAACTCTGTAAGCATTGAATGCTTGAGTCATTTAGATCTAATGTAGTTGAAACATAAGTTATGTTAACAAAAAGTTCTTCAAGCATTGGGTATCCCACCATTTTGATGTGATTCTTAGACTCATGAAAGCATTAAATGTCAGTTTTGTTTTAAGTTTTTTTTTGGTTGGGGTGTGGTGAGTACAGGCTAAATGTTGGACTTAAAATAACTTGTATCACACATAAACTTTAAATATACACTGGACATTAAAAGCAAACAGAATTTGATGTACACTAATTTTTTCAGGGCACCGGCCTTCAAACAGTCAGACCTGACAAGAGAAGAGCACGCCCAATATCTGAAGCTTTACAAGAAGTACCTTGGTGCCTACTCACAAGGTGGACTGCCATCTGTGCTGGGATCACAGCAGATGAAAGAGCTGGCTGTGTTTGAGGTTTGTTTGATTTGACCAAAGTCCTGACAGGACAACAATCATCTGGTGGACATGCCAGCTGTGCCAACTTAAACAAATTTAATTAGTCTTTAAAATGTATTGAAAATAAATGACTGACTAGTACTGCCCCTTCAGGATTACATTGGACAAAACTCTAATAGATTATTTCAATATATAGTAACTACGATGATTGATTAGTTGTTTCTCTGTTTTTTTTTTTAATCAATTACTTTCTGTGCATTCCAAAAAAGTTTTGAAGACTTTTTATAATGACTCGCAGCTTGAAATTAATAATTTTAGCCACTCACTTGCACTTTTATAATTTGACACACCATTTGTTATAAAATGAATATCCGTGAGAGTTGCACTCAGCTGGTTGTTAAAGAGTTCAGCCTGACGAACTGTTTTTGAAGATGAGTTTGTTGTACGGAATGTTAGTCGTAATATTAAAACTTATTTTTTTCTAGCAACTCCAGAAGCGAGTGCTGAGGGAACAGGCAGAGTTCCAGGACTACCTTAAAAAGAATGCAGAGCGTAACCCAAAGTTTTATCAGTTCTTACGAGAACCAGCCAGGAATTATTCTACCGTGAGTTCAGATTAGTTTTTTAAAAATTATTTGTCATCATCTTCCACAAGGATAACTCTCATCTTCCCGTAGAGTCACCCTCTTGGCATCTTCTTTCCTTTACTTTTATCAAAGTATTCAAAATTCTTACTGTATATACTGGTTCTAAAGCTTACTTTTTTTTTGGAAATTATTCAGGGGAATAAATGGAGTGGTTTTAGCTTATGTGCTGGTCATAGGAGATTTTTACATTTTTATGCAGTTATATTGAATAAAGAAATTGTAAATTGCAGAGGTTTTAGTCTACACTAAGTTCTGCAAGATTCAGTTATGTTACCAGAAGCTTTAATTATTAATAAAAGCAAATATAACCAAAGTACATGTCGCCACTGTTAGCCAAATATAATGTAATGATAAGTAGATAATAAAAGAAGGTTACAACATATGTAAGGCTGGCCTTCCTGTCTCATCCTAGATATTCTTTGTTAATTGCATAAACTGACTTATTATTATTATTAGGTGGTTTTATATAGCGCAGCCCCCCAGCCTAGGGCTAGGCTCACTGTGCTTCACATAAAATTTAGCAATTAAATAAACGTATACATTTAAAAACAAATAGTGAAAAGCTTGACCTCACCATCTACTATCTACCCCAGTCTGGCCATGGACAGCACCCAGCAGAATCTAGCATTGTTTATTAGTCAGAGGGGGGTGAGAATGAGTCAATATAATCAGTTTATTCATCTGGGCTTTTTTTCATTCTTCATTACAGATGTATGAAGTCCCTTCCACAGCTCTGTAAAATACAACTTGGTGCACATAACTTAATGTTATTTGGTTTTCAGTTTAGAACTTTGTTGAACACATTTCACACTTGTGCCGCAGATTTTAGCTGATTATTTTATAGACATTGAGATTATATATATTAAACGGACCAAATAATTCATTTCTGTAATGACCTTTTTTTTCCACCAGAGCAGGATTGGTGCTTACAGACTTAAGAAGGAATATGCTAACTTATACAGTAGCAGCTTATGTGACAAGATTTCCCTGTCTCCTGGCTCTGGCTGCACACAGATGACCCATCAACAAACTTTGCTTGAAGTTGTATGTCAGGGGGACTATTTATCAAACTAACTATATCTGTCTGCTAGACTAGTATAATTTATCAAACTATTTCTGTCTGATAGACTCTTACTTGTCAAACTATCTATATCCATCTGCTTAACTAGTACTTGTCAAACTGTCTTATTTCAGTCAGCTAGACTTGTCAAACTTGCCACAGAAATATATTAAATTAACTACTAAGAAACCCTCAGTGATTTTAGTGTTACAATTATTGTAAAGTCATTATTTGCAAGAGCTTCTGAATGAGCCTCTGATTGAGATTTTTCTCCCCTTCAAATGACTATAATCAGTTTTATTGGTTGGGGATTTCAGAATGATTAATTTTAAATGGAGTTCATTTTTTTTAGAGTATTGGCTTATTCTTAAATTAGAAGAGGGCTGCATTATTTTCCCTAAGCTGTTGAAATATTATATAAAAAATTATTTTTTAAAAATGTGAATAATTATATACACCTTACGGCTACACCAAAATTATTTCAATTCCCACCCCAGGGTGTCCCACCATTGATCAACCTGCCAAGTATACCAAAGGGGAAGCCACTCACAAAGATACCACACAACATGAAGAAGATTGATGCCCTTTTCCCAAAGTTTACCAAGAAGAAACCCCATGGATTTATTCACCATGATGTATGTATAAGATATAACATAGGGGCATTTAAAAATTATGTAATCAGTCTCCTTCATTATTTTTGTACTGTTTTGTCTTTGGTGTTAGTAATGTTGTGTCTGTATATTACAGACACCCTCCTAACCCATCTACCCCACGTCTTGTAACACACCCTCCTAACCCATCTACCCCACGTCTTGTAACACACCCTCCTAACCCATCTACCCCACGTCTTGTAACACACCCTCCTAACCCATCTACCCCACGTCTTGTAACACACCCTCCTAACCCATCTACCCCACGTCTTGTAACACACCCTCCTAACCCATCTACCCCACGTCTTGTAACAGTGTTAGTAATGTTGTGTCTGTATATTACAGCCGGTGAGCTATGATGTCAATGCCAAGGTCCTGGTAGTTAAACACAGCATCCAGGTGGTGATGTCATCAAGTGTGGTGAGTTGCCTGTTCAATAACCAAGAACCAAGCTACAACCATGCTTGGAATATCCCTGTGACTGTTGAAGAGTGCAGATCTAATGGTGATTTTAACCAATATTTTTTTTTTGTAACTCTCAAACATTTCAAAAAATTACTTGAGTGACAAGTCATATAAGACCTAAGGGTAATTGGGAAGTTGCAGGAATTTCAAAAATTATTTTCTGACAATATGAGATATTCCAGATAATTAGAAAGTTATGTTCTCAAGTTGTAATGATAAATGTGCATATTTGAAATTTCCAAACACAGCACGGCTTGGTCTTTGTTTTACAACTTACATACATTGCCATGCTTTATCTTGTGACTATACAGATTGTTCCAGTGTTTTCAACATCTTGTAATTGTACAATATGTTCCAGGAGTTTTCAATATCTTCCCCTGATAAATATATTTGTACCATCATCATTACTATTTATGCCCCTTGCTAATCTTCACCATATCCGGAAATTTGTTTGAAAGAAATTTCATTGACAGACTTTTTGATCAACGGAAATTGATAGAACGGAAGTTTGGTCGAATCTTTTTTTCAGTTCACACGTTAACATTTTGCTTCAAATTTCTTTTTGAACGCATTATTTTGTTTTACTATATATAGTATAGTGCGTTCAAAAAGAATTTTGACGAAATTTTGATCATGTGAACTGAAAAATAAATAATTTGACCAAACTTCCATCGATCAATTTTCAGTCGATGAAATTTCTTTCAAACAAATTTTCTGTAACCAATCTTCACTACTACGTAATAAGACATTTCTTGGGATTTAATTAGGAGCAAGTTTAAGTCTCCACTGCCGATGAAGTGCAATGTCTAGCCAATAAAGTGCAGTCTCTAGCATTAGAATTTTCCTGATAAAATAATTTTTTTGCCATAAATTTTAAGGAAAGCCTTGCAATCCCCTTCCAAATAAATGTTTAGTTATTGCCCATGACAACAACCACAGGAATAGTATGTTTAGCACTTTATTATATTACCTTGAACTGTTGGTTTATATTTCTCCAGGTAAAGTCTCTAAAGTGGTCTATCTGGATAAACCGTTGTTTGAAGATGACCTGCGAGTGAGAGATTACAATGCCATCTTCCACAAATACGCGCTGAGAGCATTTGTTTCTCGTGTGAGAAGACAACACAAGAGAGCAGTTACGAAACAAGGTTTCGAGCACACCCAGCATCAAAGAGTGTCCGACCCTGTGGATGAGCCTTTTGATATGTTTGATTCATCAGTGACTAACCTTGAAACATTTGGAACATCGGGGACCTCGGCTAAAAAATTCCCCTGTGATAAAACTTTACCTGCTTGTAGAACATTAAAAACCCAATCTCGGGAAGCTGTCAAGGAATTAAATCAATCCAATGTGAATCCCTTGAGCCCTACTTTTGCAGGACAGTTGACCCAGCCAGCTAAATCTCCTGCACAAAAAAGTCTCATTGATAGAATGGACATGACCAAACGGAGGAGTCGCCTGTTGATGAAAGAAGATTTGTCTAGCTCAAGTTCAGCCACCAGTCTTGAAGAGGAATTGGTTTTGAAAGGGTCCCCCAGAACTA